TTGTGTGGTGTAGAAGATAAGTATTTAAGAATGTAATTATGTAAGAATGTTAACACTGTAATAATTCTGTAGTATATTACTTGTGTGGTGTAGAGGATAATTATTTATGTAGAGATACTGCTTAGGATTTAAAAGTTGTAAGATGATGTCATGGGGTAGGACTAGATAAGTCTAACTTCTTCCTACTTCGTTCAAGCATGTACTAGGTATAAGTAAATTGATATTGGATTATTATTGTTGGATATGTGTGAAATTACATGCGTTGACATATCAACTGTTTTAAATGCTTGAATGAATAAATAAATCAAATCAATCAAAATCAAGTTCACATGTGAGTCAGCAATGTTGATAAACCTATATGTACATCAGCAAGGAGAACTTTGATATTTTTTGGGTGAAATAGCTTTTGCTCTCCCTGAGAAACCTGGACAGACTCTAATTATAAACCATTTCTATTATTCTAATAGCAAACCTGTTATTATACTGTACTTTTGTTTCATTTATCTTTTCTTGTGTTTTACTCTTCAATACCCACACACACACAAAAAAAACTTTACCTTCCAGTTTCCACTGCATCACAACATGTTTCATCAATGACATAATATAATGGATGGCGTCAAGGAGGAAGTGTGAGTGAGCACTGAACCATCTGTCTATCATGGCAGTGTGATACTAGAGCTCAAAGCAATCTGGAGATGAATCAGCATCTATTTAAAGAGTAGTTCCACCAAAGTAGCTTTTCTTTTCTGCAGCTGCATTTTTCTGTGGAGGAACTTCCAAATATACAGTAGTTTGTTGGTGAATGGTGTCAGATGGCTGATAAAAGTATTTTGATTTCCTCATTGCCCAGGTGATGCAGCAGTATCAAAGTTCCTCAATCCCATGACTACCTTTTGAACTGATCAGTACTACTGTCTAATGAGGAAATGCCTGTAGTTACAGTACTGATGACTGTGCTGTTGTGTGTGTGTGACTTGTCACCAGCTGTGTGTTCATCACCTTGTCTCAATGGAGGCAGATGCATCAGGCCGAACAGGTGTCACTGCACATCAGGGTGGAGCGGACACAACTGCTCCAGGTGATCACAGACAAACGCTCTCACACATAACAGCCAAAAAAGTGATTCAGAAATGCTGACTGGAAAAGAGTGCCGTAGGGATGACGTGTTTTTGTAGGCCATCCCTGGTTCCCTCGACAAAAAGCCAATGGGAGTTTTCCATAGGTTTTTGGATTGAAATAAGCTCTGTGACAAACCACTGTTTATTTTGTCCAGCAAGAAAATCTCCACAAATCAGCACTGCTTTTAAGATTTTTGAAGGTCGAGCACAATCACCAGAAGTGAAAAATGTGATGGCCTTGTGTTAACCAGACCTTATTTCAGGCATCTAACCAAAAACTGGAAGTGCTAACTCTGTTCAGGGTTGTAGGACTCACTACTACAGCACTCTGTTCCTCGTTTGCCTAATATGTAAATACTGTGTTTTTCCATTTTGGATAAAGGAAGCTAAATTGACTAGTAACAGCTGAACTGTAGATACCTGTTTTTGACTTGGAAGAACTGAATTACAGATGTTCACTACATATTCACTCTAAATGCTAAAATGTCATACTTGTTAAGGAGCTCTTATTTAGTTTTGACTAGTAAAATCTAAGTTATAAATGAGATGCAGTTTCTGCCAATAAGAATGTTATTGTGGATGTCTTTAATTCTGACTAGTGAGAATGCGACCTTCACTGGGAGGTATCTAAAATGTAATGACAGAGAGGGGTGGGGTTCATTACATGTTAAAACAGTTTGTCATAGGGAAACAGAAACTAAAGCCTGAACTAAACATAGCAGCTGTACAGGATGACACATGGTTTCATAAGTCATTAACCAGAAATCCAGTTAATCATTAACGGCAGCATGTTTGTGATATTTACTTGCTGTCTGAACAACACTGTGGAAAACTAGTCTAATCTTTCTTAATATGCAACACGGTTGTGTGAAGCTGCTCAGTCACAGATTTACTGTGGAAAAAAATGGCAGGGTCGACCTCAACCCCAGCACAGTTTGGCACCAGGCCATGAAGGGGCTGCTGCTGCGTACAATTAGGTCAGCGCTTTTATTCTAGAGTGATGAATCTATCATGCTCGTCTGCTTAGTCAGAAGTATTCCATGCATTAAAGGAAATTGCATTTAGCACTTTGCATTAACGTCGGCTTGGCAGTGTATTTTTACATTGCTGTGCCCGTGTGGTCGGGTGGTGTGCTTCTCTTATTCCTGTGTCCAAACACAGACGATATGAGGCTCTGCCACAATACTTCAATGCAGACATTTGGCAGGAAAAACCTTCAAAGTTAAAAGAGCTTTCTAGATCATGTGTTGAATGTTGACCATTCTTACAGGAGAGTAACACCAAGGGGGATACAACACAGTCTTAAATCCCGTTGCGTCAGTGTTGCACATTTTATGTTGTTGCTACAGTCTCATGTTGTGACATCAGCAAAAGTCCTGCCTCCACATGTACTAGCATCAAAACATGCTTAAAGTACTAAAATTTCAAGTACTCATTATGGAGAAGGGCACATTTAAAAATGTATAGCATATTATTGGGTTGATTACTGTGCACATCACATTGTTGCAGCTCCTTTCAACTACCTTATATACACAGTACTTTGTGAATTTTCCAGAGATCAATAAAATCTCATGATTATATAGTAATGCGTTACTCTAGTTCTGAAAACTTATAAATGTAGTGGAGTAAAAGGTACAATATTTGCCTCTAAAGTCAAATTATGAAGTAGCAGAAACAGAAAATGCTCAAGTACAGACACCTCAAACATTGTACTTAAGTGTGGTATCTGAGTAAATGTGATGAGTTACTTTTCATTGCTAAAATCAGGTTTACTTCCTGTTCTTGATTACACCCACCCACCAGGAGTGGTCACACCTAAATATGGTTTCTTCTTCCTTCTGTCTGCAGGAAAAGGAAATCAGGATACTATCACTTCTAGTTTGCTCTCAGCCATGTGAATCATCCTCTGAAGGGAGGTTCCTGTATAGTTAACTGACACGTTAAACCATTCATTCTCATCTCTCAAAAGGCAAAGCAAGAACCATTTTGTAAAATAAAGCTGTATTTTTTCATATAGAGACTCAACAGTATTAAACACATGCTGCTATATACTTGTACGATGTGTAAAAACTATTGTGATTGTCAAATGTATATGTGTAAACTATTCTCACCTTTTTATTAAAGCATAAAATACCACTACATTTTTTTGCTCTTCTGTTGAACACAGTGTAATTGAAACATTTCTGTATTTCACCATTTATTAAATGCACCTTGTTGAACATACAAATTAAAGTTCAGGAGTTAGTCAAGAACATTATAAAACAATGAAAAGTGGTCATTACTTTGGATTTTAATGTTAGGACAGTCAACACATACACCGAGTTGAGGCAGTAGCTACTGTGATTTCTAGACAACGGTGTGCATGGATTGGTTGGTGGGGCTTATCTGTATTTTGCCAGTGTCTCCTTCAGTTTGTCCACATTAGCACCAGAGAACTCCGCCACCTAAAAGACAACACACACCAAGGGTTAAAAACAGCATTAAATACAGGATTTGTCTTTACTCGGGGGGGTACTTTATAAGGAGATGGAGTGTTTCCATATTTGCTGTATATTTACCCTCTCTCCATTCTGGTAGAAGTGGAATGTGGGCATGCAGCTAATCTTGCAGAATGAACTCACATCCTGAAGAGATGACAGACATGTTGTAAGTACTGGGATTTGAGATTAGAAGGATGAATACTGAAGACTCAACCCAGAAAAATCTACAGTCTAGACTTAAATATGCAACAGCTTACAGACAACAGGTTTTGCCATCTTTTACATGGTCGAGTATGTTTACGTACATACAACTGGGCTTGTTTCAGGAAAAGTCGACCTGATGAGCACAGCAGCTGAGCCTCTCCCTCACTTTCTCGGGCGTTTTCCTTGGGGCCAACCCAAGTTATTTTAGTCCTCACTGGTTTCTTTATTGTATGACATGTACCACCATGTACTGTAAATATCACTGTCTGTTTTTCTTAATCTGCAGCCTGATCCCACAGCCATATTTACTTGTTTGAACAGATTACCCAGAAACCTTTACCGTGCAAAGCCTGGGACTTGGCTAATTCGCTACCAACTTCTTGTACAGCTCAGGCAGCCACGATTAATGTCCCAGTCTATCCATAACTATGGGCAGCCTGGTTGAAATTGCTTTGTTTACCTGAATAATATGAATTAGAACCATCCATTTAATACAAGCAGCATGGTTTCTTGACCGGTGGTGGCGCCAAAAAGATTATGATTAAAAAATTTTCTTAAAGAAAATGCCAAACAGTGAATACTTCCAGTATCTCCAGTGTGATCATCTCCTGCTTCTTCGTTCCATTTACTATTCTAAGTTGGTATTAGAAGCTGGACTGTCGGGTCACACAAAACAAGCAATTTGTCACCATGTGTGCTAGTTCATTAGAGGGAAATCAGGTGTCAGGTGGCAGACTGTGACCACGTGGTTACAACAAGGCTCCATTAAAGCAAGTCATTCTGACAAAAGCTGTAATCCCTCTTTAACAGTGCTGCCAATGTTTAATCTTCCCTGGTTATTTGCATACAGTAACATTTGTTTTATTTCACTACGCTGGAACACAGATAGGAAACCTGGTCACACGAGCTAGATGTGGCTCCATGTGGCCTGGTAAAATGGGTTTCATGAACAGCCCACATTTTCTGAGCATTAATATCATGGAAACTATGACAAGTGCCAGAGAAAGGACAGTTCCAGCTGAAATAGAAAATGAAATTACAAAACATGACAATTTCTAGTCTCATCTTCTCCACTGCTGTAACTGGGACTCGTGTTTACAAGTTCCCCTGGTGACGGCTACAGACACACACGTACCTCAGCCTCGTCCACGTCCACCTTCAGGAAAACCACATTCTTGTTCTCATCCTTTTCCGACAGTTCCTGCACGAGAGTGGATCGGTAAGTGTTAGGACGTAGGTGACGATTCTTTCCATGTTATTGTAGTACAACTACTGATGCATTTAAGTTAAATGCAAAAGGAGAAAATGTGAATGCCAATTAATCCTTATTAAAAGTTATGTACAGTCATCACATTTTCCAGTGAGGCAGACATTTCCTATGGTCTGACCACCTGTTGCCTGAGCAACACTCTTCCTCTCCAAAGAGCTGCTCCTCATGCAACCTGTATCCCTCAGGAAAGGGCTCCTTACACAACTGACAAGCACCTAGTCCACAAAGGCTGCAACTACTCTGTCAAAAAAAAATAAAAGACCTAAAAACACTTTGTAGCCTCAAACCGATTCCTCTCTCTGAGCCCATCTTCAAACTCCAGACATAATCAAGCATTTTCCCTCAAATTAATTTGGAGAAAAGGGGGGGCTGGAAGACTTATTGAATATGAGCTTAGTTACTGGTTTTGTACCAGTGTCACCCCCAACCAATTTAAAAAAATAATAATTTTGACAAGGTTTAGCGCCATGATTATCCACTTACTACAAACACGGGGGCAATCAGTTTGCAGGGGCCGCACCATGTGGCTGAGAAGTCCACCACCACCAGCTTGGTGCCAGAGTCCTTCAGGATGGCCTGGAACTCCGTCTACAAAAAACAGAAAACACCATCTGTTAGGTCATTGTGATCAAGCTGTGACAGGATTAACCAACCTGAGATTACAAGTGTTAAGCAACACTTCTGATATGCAGTTGGTTTCGTTTGCTGCCCTTATTGATTTGGTCACTGGCTTCCTTCATCACAACTAAAAGCTTTCACTTTCACTGTGTGTTAACACATACAACCAGACCATATCATTCAATGCGTCAAATCATTGTTGTCCTTCTGTGTCTCTTTTTAAACAATATACTGCGTTTACCCAAGTAAACAATCAGTTTACGTCTCCCACAACTGGTCCAGAGTGTGTGAGCAGAAACACGTGCCACAGCTGACATCCTCCAAGTATTTTACAGATAACCATGCGTGTTAGAAGCCTGATATAATGAAAGGCTACTCCCTATTAAAAGTAGTAATGTTACATTACTCTCCCCACCCACCCATTCTGAAACACGGCCTCCTCTCCGGTAGCACTGACGGTAACTCCGAGCTGTTACAACCGCTAAACACCAGCCCTATTCTGTTCCCGCTGCCATTATCAAACAGTGTGGTTTGTTATGTAGCTTTGTACCGTTTCCACTATCACAGTCATTTCCCATGCGGCCCGACGTTAAGTTGTGAGCCCGCCCACCTAGAAGACAGCAAAGTCCACGGGCACACACATGGTGAGGCTGAGGTTGGCTGTAGATTTGCCAATGAAACGACATTGTCCACCCGATGCTCGGTTTTTTCCCCATCCGCTCACTGTGTGACAGGGTGTAGTTTTCTCCGTCTTTCTGACGGACTAACCAACTAGACTTGACAAATATGGGCCTGGTTTGAACGTACACTTTGTGAATCCTTTGCACTCAATATGAAAACAGAAGGGCGCGCTTTCACTCCACATCACTACTACTGCTACTACTCACAAAATACCTGTAGCTACTACTTGTACTAGATTAACCAACCTATGAATCGTAAGCTAACGTTAACCAAATTCAGCGTCGCCCATCAACCCACTGCTTAATCAACCAGTCTACTATATTAACCGAACTCGAAGCCTGCAGCTTTACTCTTTAAATGATTTTAGCAACATTTATGGCTAATATCCATCTTCTAACAAGCCAGAGAAGCGTGGAAAATAACTCCTCTGCAGAAGACGGGTTACGAGAGTTGGAGGGGGCGCGCGGCGGTCAGGCCGGTGTTGTGTCGAGATGCGTTTCTCCTAACCTGAACCCTACCCCTGTCCTTCTCCGATCCGTGTTTCTAGAAACACGGTCTTAACCAGGGGAAACACATCGTAACGGGGGTAACAGACTTCCACACAAGACCAGTTGGAATCACCGCAGCATCGACCTTAAAACATCTACTAATGTAGTACAATTGAGGCTCGCAGCGATTTTAACAGCTCGTAAATGATAAACAGGACACAACTTACCAAACTGGTCACTTCACGAACCATGATAACTGCTGAACGTTAGCGCCAAGGACAGAACTCAAAACAGTTAAGTTTGGGAATGCCCTTTTCCCGAAAGACACGCCGCGTTTTTATCACAGCCTCGTCAAGGTATGCGCCCGGCAGCGTAACAGCGGAAGTCTGCACCGTGCTTTTAAAAATAAAAGCATTTGTGTCGGCACACTGCTGCATTTTCATTGCTTACAGATTTTACCATTATTATTAGCCTATTATTTAGCTCAAGTGCATCAATTTTACTGTATTTATAATGAAATGTGTTGTAGTGTTTTACTTTACTACATGTATGACAGTTACTTTTCAGATTAAGATTTAATAGAAAATGTTTATACAGTCAGTGGTGGAAGTACCCATATTGTTTTTTTAAACTTAGCTTAAGTAAAAGTAGCAATACCACAGCGTAAAATAGCGTACTCCGTTATAGCAGCCGCATGACAATTAGCATCAACATATATTAATTGTATCGAAAGTAAAACTAGTCAATATGCAGAATTCCACAGTTCACATAAAAAAACTTAAATAATATGTGTCTCTTTCAGAAGCCTTGCTTCTATGTAGGAGGGTTGGGGGTGCTTTTACATGCCTTTGCCCAGGGGCTCATGTAGATATATTCCGTCCGCGTTTAAAGAACATTTTGCTGATAATCTGTGCTTTTTCTTACATTGGACTTTTGGTGGGATTTTTGCTTTAATTGTGTATTTTAAATCTATTTTATTAGTAGCCTTGTCTTAGGGAAATAGGTGATGATGAATACTTCAGTTTTAACAAGCATAACAAAGCTTTCGCCGATAAAGACGTTTAATTTGAAGGTCGTCATCGACGTAATACGTTTCATTTTCACAACTTTACAATAAAAATCGTTTGAGAATGTTGGGTGTTGCCACTCTTTAATTCATCAGCCCAACTATTTTGTCTCCCAGTAGATTTATCAATCCTTCCATGTTTGGGAATTGGTTGAATAAACAGTCCGTATAAAGATAGGCTAAAACTGACCTTAATAACGTTAACCTTAATAAAGGGAATAGACGAGCCCTTTGGAAGATAACGTATTCTTATGAATAATCACATTATCTTGTGATAATGTTAATGTAGTTTATATCTTATTGGCCTATCTATCGCCTACATATTATTTAGGGACGTCAGGGAAACAGGTTTAACATATCAAGTCACTATGACTTGACATTTTATGTTTACCGTAAAGAAGTGGGTAAGCGCAGCTCAATTCCAGTGTAAATTCCATAAAGCAGCGCCCACGGCCTCTTGTGACGTAGGTTACGGGACGTTACTTGTCGTCATCGCGTCATCGCCATCATCTTACATCTCAATTAAATACTCAGTTACGGTTTGACAGTATTTCTAATTTACTTTTCTCAGTTTTATTCGAGGCTACTTTATACTTCCACTCCACCAGTTAACAGTTACTTTGCAGATTAAAACTCTTATGAAATTTAAATTAGCACCTAAAAATAGGATTTATTCCTGGATGAAAAAAAAGCTCCATGCAGCAGAAGAAAACCAACAGTGTTTGCTTCATTATCTAGACTCCACTCATTTTAGGACTGAAAGAAACACATCTTCAATACTGTAGGTTTTCTTTACTCAAGCCTTAAATGCATGACCTGTATTTATTACAAAACCAGATTTGTATGGTATAAATACCCAGTGTATGAAGCCCAAAGCACAAGTAGGACATGATGCCAACACAGAAAAGAAAAGAAAAACACAAGATCCTGCTGATTTTGCTTTTAATTATGTTAGAGTAAATAATGCATGAAGGTACGAGCAGCAGACCCACGCAGTCCTTCAATGTACAGTACTTGCTTGCATACAGACCAATAGTCAGGTATCATCCTAGGGTTTTGATTTCATTGCTTCTTACTTGACGATTTTCTCCAGCAGTCTGGTCTCTTCCAAATGATCTACACTCAAATCAAATTACGCTCTGCATGCCTGAATTAGAAAACAGTTGCTTTAATGCTGCTTTCATCTATAATTTGTTATTACTGTGATTACAGAAATGTTCAAATAGGCAAAGTTAGCCAAAAGTGTTCAGATTAATTGTACACTATGTGTCTCAGTCCTTCATATAGGTTTTCCGTAGTGATGTGTCGTTATTGGTAACACTGATTCTTCTCTACTCCTGTGATCCACATCAAACTGCGACAATAGCCTTGCCGATGTTTTCTCCCCGCAGCAGCCCCATGAAAGCAGCTGGCATGTTTTCAAAACCTTTTGTCACATGCTCCCGACTCTGCAGTTTGCCCTGCAGATGCAGAGTGACTTAATAAATCACAAAAAAATCCTCTAAAGCAAAAACATGTGCAACCCTCCTTATTGTGGTTCCATTTTTTATACACAGAAATCTAGAATTAGATCCAGCATCCTAAAGAAACTGTTTTACATGACTAACCTCTTTCAACCATCCCATCAGTCTCTTGAGAGATTCAGGATGCTTGTGCTCCCACCTAGTCTGCATAAAGCCCTCCATCTTAAGCTGCTTGACAATCATGGTGAGGTGAGGGTATGGGCCTGGCAGAGAAACATGGTTAAAGAAATGTATAGACAAGCACACCAGTTCTGCCAAGGGTCTGTTTTATACAGCTCCACCAGCATTTCAGCAAGTGTCGCCCTCTAGTGAACAAAGGTGTGAAATTATATGTATTATATATATTAAATTATATGTGAAATTGTGAAGAGATGAATCCTTTGTTTACATGTGGGTGTAAGTGCATTTCACAAGCAGGCATTAAGTTAAAGGAAGTAAAACTAGCAGATCTATTGATAAAGAGAATGTGAAGCCGTCATCACACTGTTACATTTTGGGTAAATGCACTATTTTGGGAGCATCATGCCCATTATCAATCATCCTATACAGCTACATACAGTAGCGGATACGTCTACTTTGTCTAAACATCCGCATTAGTGTTCAGTTTTAGCACAGAGGGGACAGAAATTGATTCATCTACAGTGGTTGTGTCTTGTGCCGAGGGCTGCTAGCTAGCGTTAGCTCCCAAACAGAGCTGAGATGAGGGTGCAGTCATTTTTCAGTCTGTTGCTCTTGTCAGCGGGATCTCTAGGTCTGCTATGAGTTAGCTACAGTCAGCTAAGGTTAGCATTCTGAATTATGACAGTCAGTAAAATAAGATCTAAATGATTTAAGCAACTTTTTAACCAAACAAAACAAGAACATATGCAGGTAAATACAGTGCCTCCCTCTCAAAATGGCACCCCCATTCTAGCATTCAACACAGCGTGTTGAATGCTAGAATGGGGGTGCCACATTCTCTATATTAATTGGATATAATGTAGTACACACCTGTCTGTGGGGTGGTATCATTATACCCAGAGATACTTCCACACACAGCTATTCTCCCAAAGTTCTTCATTTGTTGCAAGGCAACATCTGAAAAAGAGCCTCCCACCTGCAATCAAACAGCGATAATAAAGGTTTTAAATACTGAGCCTACAGTATTAAAGTAAACTGGAAGGCTTGTTTATAACCACATTTGTCAAACAATGGTTAGAGCACAAACTATGCAAGACAAACGCTAAGCCAAAAATATGCTGAAAAACTGAAAAGGACCATAGAAGAGAATGTAAGCACTTAAGAATAAGTGCTTGAAGATGTTGTTTAGGCTTGGAATTACCACGCTGTTGCTTACATTTTCAAAGAAGCAGTCATATCCATCTGGAGATGCCTTCTTAAGTGCCTCCTCCAAGGAGCCAACAGTCTTGTAGTTGAAGGCCTCATCAAATCCCAGCTTTTTAAGGAATGCCACCTTAGCATCAGACCCTGCTGAGCCCACCACCTTGCAGCCTTTGAGCTTGGCAATCTGGCCCACCACAGATCCCACTGCCCCTGCTGCTGCATTTACCAGCAAGGTCTCACCCTTTTGGAGTCCCAAGACCTCCTCAATCCCATACAGAGCCGTCAGTCTGGAGAGAGAGAGAACAAGTGAAATCCCAAAACTAAAAAGCACAAGGTTTTCCATCTAGTTCCACAGAGGAGCCTCTTTGACGTGTGTAATGTAAACTCTTTGGAATTGCTCCCACTCCTAGGTTGTCCAGCTCACCAGCAAGACATCTGGAGCCTTAGGAGTTTATTTTCTGAAAAGAAGACGACACTCAGCTGGTCTCCTATGCTGAAAAACAACTAGTTCACTGATATAAATTTACCACTTATCTACTTTTGACTGCTGAGTATTGTTTCTTACCCCGCTGCCTTAAAGCACTTGTGCTTGACTTCCTGTATTTTCCTCAAGGGGTTATGATCACAGTTTCGTGTCTTTGGTATTAATGAACCCAACTTTTTTAGTGCATTTGTCATTTGTGTGTATTTATGATTCAGCAGAGACAACATCATGTCCATTGAGCTACTGGAAAAGCAAGTCACAGTACAACTGTTTGGTTGCCAGGTGTAACTCCTGTGCATACAGTAGCTGACATCTGTCTTACCCTGGCATGCCGATGGTACCCAGAGCCAGTGACAATGAGACGCCTTGAGGCCAGTCAGCCATGATGGGTGTGAGGCCTGTCCCATCGCAGACTGTGTGCGTTCTCCAGCCACTGCGAGCGACAACATGGCTACCCACAGGAAATGCTGGATTTTTACTTTGGATCACTCTACAGCAAAACACAAGAACAGAAGAAGAAAAAATGCCAACTGTCAATGCCACCTTCTGCCACTGGACTACTTATGGCTAAATCCATATGTACATCATCTGAATATACACAGTTTAAGTGTGCTGTGGTATCCTGGACAACTGTCAGACCTTGTGGCAGATGGGGTTTTGCACACAGTGAAAATACATAACATGCCTGAAACAAATTAATTTGAGGATCTTTGGAAAGTTTGCTCACTGAGTAATTTATTCAGCATGTTTATCAACAAAAACATTCCCGGTGGAACAAATCCCGCATCTGAACACTCAGCCAAGAACATTCCTATTGTCCATTTTCACTCAAGTCATTGCGAATCAAAGGCTGCAGTAATTAATAGCAGGTGCAGGCAGTGTTCTGTGTCAGTAAACACTGGGCATACACAGCACACAGTGACAGATAAAAGACATTTCTGTGTGTGCATGTGCATTTGCCTTTCTTACCGGGCCACTTGAGTTCCAATCATCATATTTCCTTCATTCATGCTGAACCTACTGAACACCCTGAAGAGACAAACAGTGCATTAAAGTACATTTTAAGTAACTTTTTGTTTGTGATGTTAAAGAGTGTCCTCATTAATAAGTGTGAATGTTTTCCATATGGATAACCCTCTTCTCTGCTCACCTCATGTACGGGTCCACACTGAGAAACACTGCCTCCAAAAGCACCTCTGAAACAAAAAGAAACATCAGTAGCCTGACCACCTCTTCAGGACGAAGTGCAGTGAATTACCTGACAAAAACCATCTTACCCCCATCTTTGGGTTCGGGAAGCTCCTCTACCTTGAGCTCAAAGTTGCTGTCCTTTGGGAAGCCGTCAAAGTGCTTGGTCAAGATCCATGTTTTAGCTTGAACCATGATTCTTATTCTGAGTCAGCTGTGAAACAGAAAGCAGATGTTTATTAATAAACAGACAGAAACAGACTGTAGTATTCTTACTGATGTAGTCTGTACCACCATAATATCTATACTGCATGTGCATTGTTAGGGTAAATCCCAAATCTGTAAAAGAGGAATGCATTCATCTTATACATGCATGGCTGCGCACACAAACACAGGCTATTAAAAACTGAACGAAGCGAGTTCATTCATTTTTTAGATTATGCAACTCGGTCGTAACAATTCACTGACAGTATCTTGGGATTATTTCTTTCAGCAAAACAAAAAATGAGAACGTTGTTAAAAAGACAGATTACCTATCATTACTATAACACTGGTTGCTGGGTCGAATGGAGCAACATCAACTTAAACCTTAAAAGGAACTATAACTTACCCTACGACTTGTCGGTCTACACAAAGAAGAACTTTAGAACTCAGTGAGAAAGGGCGGGGCGGAGTATATAAAGCATGGGAGGAGAGAGGGCGGGGCAAAAGCTTCAGTCGTTAAATCTTATTCGCTGAAATGTTAGCACAGCCTCTGACATATGGTGTATGTCTATGTCTATACGAACGTCAGACTTCAGAATCAGCTTTATTGGCCATGTGTGTCGGACACACGAGAAATTTGACTCTGGTACATCGGCTCTCAATATGCATGTACATATCCCATTGCAAGGGGCAAGTAAACAGTAAACCAGCATAAGGCTGTGTAATATAACAAATTAAGCAGCATTAACCAGCAACAAACAGTGCAAACAATGCAAAATAAGCAGTATAAACAGACAGTAAACAATGCAGACAGACAAAAGAATGCTCACTGAAATTAGATAAATAGGAGTAAAAATAGAGTACTTAAAAATAGAGACCTGTACAAGTCTGTATAATCTGTACAATGTATATATACAGGTATTGCACTGAGGGTTATTGTCCAGTCATACTGTCGTGGGTCAAGTGTTCATCAGAGTGACAGCCTGGGGGAAGAAACTGTCCCTGTGCCTGGTTGTCTTAGTGCACAGTGACCTGTAACGCTGTCCAAAGGGGAGGAGTTTGAACAGAGTAATGGAGGGCAGGCTCACACCAATGACCTTTTCTGCAGTCCTGACTGTCCACTGAAGTCTGTACTTGTCCTGTTTGGTTGCTGAGCCAAACCAGACAGTGATGGAGGTGCAGAGAACAGACTCAATGATTCCTCTGTAGAACTGTATCAGCAGCTCCTGGGGCAGGTCGAACTTCCTGAGCTGGCGCAGGAAGCACATCTTCTGCTGTGCCTTCTTGATGATGGTCCTGATGTTGGACGTCCACTTCAGGTCCTGGGAGATAGTGGAGCCCAGGAACTTGTAGGACTTTACTGCTGATACAGTGCTGCCAAGTATGGTAAGTGGGGGCAAGGTGTTCCTGAAGTCCACTGTCATCTCCACTGTTTTGAGCGTGCTCAGCTCCAGGTTGTTGCGACTACACCACAGGACCAGCTGCTCAACCTCCCATCTGTAAGCTGAGTCGTCACCGTCTCGGATGAGACCAATGACCGTTGTATCATCAGCAAACTTTAGGAGCTTGACAGAGGGGTCCTTTGAGATGCAGTCGTTGGTGTAGAGTGAAAACAGCAGAAGGGAGAGAGCACACATCCCTGGGGGGTGCCTGTGCTTATTGTCCGGCTACTGGACATTGTTTTCCCCAGCCTCACCTGCTGCTTCCTGTCTGTCAGAAAGCTAATAATCCACTGACAGGTGGGGGCAGGCACAGTGAGCTGGGTCAGTTTGGAGTGGAGGATGCCCAGGATGATGGTGTTGAACGCTGAGCTGAAGTCCACAAAGAGGGCCCATGCATAGGTCCCTGGGGAGTCGAGGCGTTGCAGGATGTAATGCAATGCCATGTTCACTGCATCATCCACTGACCTGTTTGCCCGGTAGACGAACTACAGGGGGTCCAGCAGGGGGTCTATGGTGTCCTTCATTACGGTGTCCTGCTTCCTGTGCCTTCATGAAAGACTTAAGAAAATGTAGAAAATTATAGCAAAATAATCTCTTCAACTAAGAACTAAAAGGCTATGAAAACTTTAAATTTGATTTAATTTTTATTTATTTGTTTAATACATACAACTCTTTTTTTGTGGCTGTATGTACAGATTTCCCTCTGGCATGTTATTTGTTCATTTGCGCTGTATAATGGTTTCTCTTTTGCTAATGACTGTAAATTATTATTGTTCAATAAAGTTAGTTTAAAAAATTAGGCCTCCTAAGTGTATATACGATAGAACTGTATGCTATTGTTTTGGCTCTTGAATGGTTAGAGCAAGCCAAGCCCAGACAAGCTCTTACATGTAGTGACTCAGTTTCTGCTCTGTCCAGCCTTAAGTCATGGAATTCTAGACAATGACAAGATACTGTATGTTAATGAAAATAACGATGGTACACTTCACAGCTGACATCAGTTTCATCGGGGTTCCATCTCATGTCGGTATAGTGGGGAGTTAAAGAGTTGCTAGATTATCCAAGCAAGTCCATAAAAAAGGAAATATAGAAGTCAGTATAAACCTTTTAAAGGCACACGGAGAGGTCATTATATGGAGGGCAGTGAAAAGAGAATGGCAACAATATTGGGACAAAGAGAGGAAGGGAAGGCATTTACATTCAATTCAACCTAACGTAAGGGCAACGAGAAGGCACAAGCAGGAGAGAGGAGGTTATTATAACCAGAACCAGGTTACAAATAGGACACAGTAATTTAAATACTACTATCTATAGAACAAGTAAGCATGCAGATGGACTTTGTGACATCTGTTAAGAATTAAAAACAGTTGAGCAGGTGATGTTGGCTTCCTGAAAGTGTGAAACAGAACAAGAAGATATGTTAAATGAGCTCAGAATACATGGGGTGTCTGGAATGAAATAACAAAACATACTGGCATTTAGGGGTCAAAAGAGAAGGATTGTGTTGAACTTCACTAAAAGAGCTGAAGTGATTAACAGAATTTAAAGGGATGGAAATGTAGGACATGAATGACACCAGAAGATGACAGTAATGCAATGCCTTGGATACCAATTGCTAATAAATGCCGAGGAAGAAGAAGAAGAAGAAGAAGAAGAAGAAGAAGAAGGAGAACGAGTACGAGTACGAGAACGTATGCGTATGACGTCATTACGTTGTTTACGTACCGTCAATTCGGATTATTGGGCGCGAGCTAAGCGGTTAGGACGGAATTCTAAATAAACAGAATTTGTGAGTAGAAGAGTAAGTATTGGAGTTCCCATTTGTTTCCAATTTTGACTTTTTGTTGGCAAGAGAACACACGAAAACTATTACTGTCGACACAAGACAATAAATGGTTTTTATAAAGTTAACGGTACTTTCTAGCTATTAAGTGGCTGTTTATAGCAACTGTTTACTCGGTTAGCTATCTTGACACGGTCTTTTACGGTCTTAACGGATCTGTTTGCATGCTAAAGACAGGAAGGGACATGTCTACAGTGTTACAATATCTTTAGTGGACGAAATAAGTGAACATTCCCCCAATTGCAGTTCCATTTTCAGCCTGAGTATCATAAGTTGCATTGTAGCTAAACCGTCAGTCAGCATTAATTTGCAAGGACACAGAAACGTAGTAAAATTTCGTTTAGTTAGTTAGCCAGCCAGCCTTATCGACGATTCTGACGATTCTAATATCATGGTTACCCACTATTAATGACTTCAAGAGACTATATTACTGCTATTACTGTTTTTGTCCTAATCAGGTAACCTATGTCCCTATTAATTATTTTGTTTTAGATTGGACTCCTTTGTTGTCTGACAGTAGCTTTATTATATTTCCATGCTTTCCTCTACATTATACAACTTCATTGTGCACAATTTACCCGAATGCCGACGTTAAAATTAGTAAAGCAATTCAGACATACAGTATGTGACAGTTTAATAACTCTTGTTTAAGAAAGTCTATCCCACATAAAAGCTTTTCTGAAATGGTTTTCTATAATGTTTTGTATACTCTCCTGTAGTGTTTTGTGCATGTCTAAGGAAAGAAGAGGGTCTCTGGAGCAGTGGTGGGAGGAAGGTTTGGATAGGCTTTAGTTAAGTGTAAATGCCAATAAAAAGTAATGCAGTCTAATCCAACACCCCTGCAGTAAACCTTAATAAAGATTTAAATAAATCATTTTCAGATTTTGTTGAAACTGTTTTGGAGTATTGTTGATTCGGATTTATAATTAATTTAATTTTGTAGGCTGTTATTGTGATGCTTTTGAATTATATTGTGTGAGAGATGTTTTGGATATTTAGGCTACCCTCAAATCTCCTCTCGATACAATGTAGTCTGTGGTATAATGCAATACAAATCAGAAACATTACAAACTCTAGTTGCCAGAATTACTATTATGCTGAATCAGCACTTCTCTAAGAATTTGAGCTGGTTATGTACACACTCTGTGATGTAATTTAAACTGTATTCTGCTATTTACTTTGTGTCATGGTTCACGTAGAATGTTTTTTTTTTTTCATACAAAGGAAGGTGCAGATGTGGATTAAGGTTCAGATAGCTAATAATTGCTTTGCTCTGTTTTCTCTCACCCTGTTGGCATTTGCTTTCACCTAATTTTCCATAATCTACATTGTGCTGCTATGACTAACTAGCACAGAATCAAAGTGGACAGGTGGTCAGTTTGTGGAGGCCCTGGGTCGCCTAGGTTATCCTGGTGCGTCATCACTGAAGGCCTCAGAGTTTGACTGGCTGTTTGACTGTGCCCCGGAGAACCTTCACTTCTTGCGCTTTGTCTGTCGGACCCTAAACCGAAGCAATGTTCTCACCATCGAGGAGGCATGGGCTTTTCAGGAGCTACAGAAATCTGGCAGGCCAGTTCTAGATGAGGCGGCTTTGGGCGAGGTTCTTAAAACCATTGGACCTTCAGATGGAAGCAGTGAAAATGTCTTAGGGCCCTCTTCTTCATCTGCAACATCCCTATTTGCAGCAGAAGGAGATGTGATCATAGAAGACTTGGAGATGGAGCTCCAAGCACTGCGTAAAGAGAAAGAGCTAAAGCAGCGACGCTACAGCAGGTTGCAGGTTGCTGCCACCTCGCATGCAGATGTTGACCTACAACTCACTGCAGAGCTGGAGAGTGCTGCATGTAAGCTAAAGGAGGCCAGTGTTGCTATTGGAGCTGAGAATGCTAACACCAACAGTCAGTTACAAAACCTAACAGATGAGGTGAGAAAGCTTGCTTCATATCTCCCTGCTCAGCCAGAAGCCAGTCAAAAAGGAAAAGAATCTGTTGCCCCATCAAATTCTTCTACCTCTAGAAGGCCCACTGTCCTCCTCTCTCAGCTATCGTTGGATCCCTACCTACATCAAGAGGAGCTCAACACCAAAACATTATCTGCCTTCACTCAGAAGCAGTTTTTCCAGGGTATCTCTGACATTGTTGAGACTTCTTGCTCTGAGCGCTTCCAGGTCCTTGATCTCAGTTCTTGTGAAGATGGAAGAGAGGAAGAGAATGAGCATGAGGGAAGAGACAGGGAGGGGCGTAGGGTGGTGGACCGTAAGAGGATAGAGATGGCCAGACTTCAGTGGTCTTATATTGTGACCCAACACCAGCTGATGCAGGCCATGGCAGAGGAGAAGAGTGTCAAGGCTGGACTGTATTGGCTCTCTGAGAAGTTCTCACATTATAAGGTAAAACAGACAAAGTACAGTACAGTATGGTATGTTTGTATGTTGTAAACGGTATTGTTCTCATGGTGTGTTCAGTAATTTATATTGTGGCTTCCCCTCTCAAGTGATCTTGCATATCTATCTCTTGACTCTACCAGAGCATTTCCACTTCTTCCTCACTGCATGTGCGTAATACTGTATCCAGAAAGGAGCTGCAGGCGGTGGAGGCTGAGCTGGAAGCTCTGCTTCTTGGACCATTGCCTGCTGCCCTTAGGGAGTCAGCCAGGCTGCTCAATGTGCCAGTAGTGAAGGGGGATCTGGCTCTACAACTGGCCAGGCAGGACTACTACATCTCCCGCCAAAACCAGGTTAGGTTGTGACGTCCTCGAATTCAAGACAGATCTTCATAATAAGTAGATAAATCTACTATTCTAATCTAGATTTAATCACAGATTAAAGTCATGGTTCTGATTCCTGCATGCATTATCTGCCATATGAATGGAAGACATGAAGCTGTTTCTGTCATTGTAAGACAATGTGGAAATAAGAATGAACAGCCCAAGTAAAACAAACTAAATCTTTCCACCTAGGTTCGTGACTACCTACTCCGCCAAAAGGCATCTTTTGACCTGGTCCTCCTAGCTCAGGAGACAGAGTTAAGGAGATGGAAGATGTGTTTGAAGCACCTGGTAGAAGCAAACAGCAGAATGGTAAAAGAGGGTGAAGCATCCTCCTCCAGGATTGAGTCCTTGGCACATCCTGACCTGGCTATCAACCCTAGGCCAAACCCTATAATCAGCTGCAGGGATGCTTCCTTCAGCAGGTAAAAGGACTTGAACTCTATGCACTACAGAACTGTTGTAGAGCTGAAACTGTTCAGAGCTTTTTCTAAAATAAGTTGTCTTAAAAGTCTGCATTCTAGATGCATGTGTATTAAATATTTTGAAAGAATCACCATGAAATTCTAATCATTTTTCCTTCGCATCTTTATGGATAAAAACAAAATGAAGGTAAAAAGACAAAGCTCACAATGTAAGTGGATTAACTGGGTGATTTACTCATTCACTGGACCCTAGTGGCTACTAGGTGTCATTAGAATGTGTGCTGATTTAAATTAGGATTATTTTCTTACCTCCTCTGCATTAGTGTGATGCAGTGTAGACTGCTTTGTCCTTCATTAAATGCAGTATGTCTCAACTTTGAATTGTAATGCAGCATTGAATCCTTCTCTTTCCTCAGAGTGCTCCAGATTCTTGAACATGATTCAGACCATGGTCGATCACAGCCTTTTCGGACATATGAAGCATTGGACCAGGCTGCTTGTGACCTAGCAGGCAACCTCCAGGTCACCCGAGATGCTCTAGGTGGTGCTTGCCGAGGGCAGTACTACGCAGCTGCTCGCCTTAATGGCGACTGTGAGGCGCTCCACAGGGAGATGTACACAGAGCTACAGCAGCTGGTCTTAGGGCCGCAGGTACGTCCAACGGCCATCACTGACCAGGTGCAGCTCTGCCCAAATGCACAGGTGGGTTGGTTTCATCTTATTTTACACACTCGTCTTGGTCAGCCATACAGAGTGCATTTCAGAAGCCGTCCTTAATGTGAGTTATTGCTGATTGTTAAATTACTTATCACTACTGGGGAGGCAAGTTGGTAGCATTTTTTTTAACACTTATTACAATTCCAAGTACTTAATAAATAGACACAGGTGTTGGGTGTAAAATCAATGTGTGATAACTTCCCCTCAGACCAAACTGCTTTATTATATTACACCAGATTCAGTATCAGGAACAGTGATGTGTGTATTTGTCTGCTGACCCTGTCTGCTTAATCATATCTTCTTACTCTGTGTTTACAGTCTTGAGTGAATGGCTTTCATGTTTCTTGAAAATCATTCATGAAAATCTTTTTCATTTCTGTTCCCACAGTTACTCGGTTACACATAAAAACTACCTCTGGCTATATCAGCAATACTATATCTGTATCATACTATATCAGCAATGAAAATCTGAAACCACCAAAGGTTCTTTCTGTGAATTAGCTAATGAAATGAGATTTTGATGCAAGAAACTTAAGTGAGAAATTAACACTGCATAAACATTTTTACCTTGAAACCATAATGCTCTCACTTTGTTTACTTTAAATGATACTATCGCTCTGTTATTTGGTAAGTATATTAATTGAATACATTCATTAATTAACTTGACAAATTATCTTTTTTGCATAGCTAGTTATGTTTGATATTTTTTTAGATTAAAACTTGGCCATTACGTTCAAGTAGTGTGTAGTTTTGTATGTCTGCTTGCTTAGCCTTTTGCTAATTCTGTTTGTTTTTTCCTTATGTTTCCATAGGAGCTGACAGCGAAGCTTGTGGAAGCAGAGTCTCAGCTGCAAAGCTTGCAGCATGTAATGCAAGAAATCATGGGGGAGGTTAAAGCCAAGCGCTCTCAGCTGGAGCGCAATTCCCTCCTCAGACAGGAGAGGGGGTTATACGTCTATTTTCACTTGGATGCCAAACTGCTGCAGAAAATAGTGGAAAGTCAGGAGAGCAAAATGGCTGCAAAGAGAGGGTGCCAATAGTCCCCAGTGGAAGAGATAACCCTATTATCTCTGGTGATGTCCAGTCTGAACCTACTCAGAATCTGGACCTTCACTTGGTTTGTGAGGAGGATGGAGATCAGTCACTCAGTCTTAATTGCCTCAACTTTGGGACAGCACTCAGCCTGAGAAAATGCTGTGCTCTGGTGTTCCTGTGATATTGGGATTCATTTGAGTGTTTTTTTTTCTTACAGTTTTACATAATCTTATCAGAAAACATTTGGAATTTATTGTTGTGTTCTGTCATGTGATGTTCTACCCCCCCTTTATCTTTAGTAATCTGATAAATAAAGAAGAATGTTACCTTTATGGAGGTTTGATTCTTATTTCTTTTTTTATTTAATATTTATTTCAGGCATAAACTTTTTTGAGTTGTTTCTGGAGGGTTAGCAGCAAACTTGGTGAAGTCTGTGCAAAAGACCCTGGTTAATAGATTTAAAAAACAAAAACAAATTTTTGATGTGTTTTTCTGATTCCATTTTAAACAAAGTCTTTGTGTAGCTGATCTACCTGTCCCCTTTGTCCTGTTTATGCCATTGACAGTTGACGAGTCAGAGATCCTCAGGTATAGAAACAGACTAGCAGGCATTCTGACAGGGAGGAGATGGAGCAGTCTAGAAGCAGGTTGTACTCAGGACCTCTGTCCCAGGCAGCCCAGAAGATCCTGGTTGTTCTGCGGTCCCAGAGTTTACACGCCGCCAGACGTGGCCACCAATACCTGAGTAATCATAGGCAAAGTGAGTCAGTACAGATAAATCTAGAAATTCTTTTTAATGATGAAACAGGCCTATTCTCTGACTTCATGTAAACCTACAAGTGAGCCAGTATCAGCTGTGTTCATAACATTTCTGTTTCAAGACTGCAGCACAAACTATAAACACAAAGAGGCATCTTATGTCATCACTTTTCTGTTTGGGTTTTGCTTTCTTTTTGCTCACAATTCCCTGCCAATAGTTATTGTAGCTTACCTGTTATAAAATATGTGGGAAATAATATTGTTGCTAAACATTTGTGATGATTATGAAATACTGATATTGAGAGTGCAGGACACAGTCATTTTTAGCTTTTTGTAGGCGTTGATTATTCATGTAACAACCTGTGGTGGAACACTAACATACATGTACAGTGCTGCTACTACAGAACCTGCATTTCTTTTAAATTCTAAGGCTGGGTTCTATGTACAAAGGTGCTTCTTCAAGAATAACATTAATCCTGTCTATTAGATAATTTTTCATTTCCACATTTTGTGTTGTCTGTAAAACCTTTTTTTAAGAAGGTGAGCAAATTTTAAATGAGTGATTTTCTTACTCTACTCAGAGGTATCATAAAAAGTATATATTTGGTTTCTCTGTCTGCACCCAGAGAGTTTATAGTTTTTCCATTTGTTGTGTATGTGTAGTGGAGAGATATTATGACAGCCAATGGGAGCCCTGGGCTCTGAGCAGCAGGAGTATGAGTCAGGAGGAAGGAGACAGAAACATAGTCCGGTAAGTAGGATTAACTAGATAATAAATATGAAAACATGCACTTCTGTTCAGTTGGGGTATCCATTTTTAAAACATCTACATAATTTTATATTACTCATGTTTTTCTGATCTGCAAACTGATGCAAAGGCATCTGCCTGCACAATGACACAGCAAATACTAGAAGCTTAATATATTGCTATAGCACAGTGATGGGACATTGCAGAATTTTTTTTTGTCATAATATTTGTAGTAGTGTTTGGATTGTTCTAAAGCATACAGTTAATGTATTTAACTCTTAATGTATATAAATGTGACACGTCCATATATCCATGCAATAACCTTAATCTTAAATGTACATCATGCAAGTGAAAACAGAAAATGTAACAAAAGATCCTTTCCCACTGTTCTGGTTTAGACCATGGTCCAGACCTCAGGTGTCCTCTTCCACCCATCTTCATGACCCCTCCAACTACAGACAGAGCTCTCAGACCTTGGCCTACTACCAGTACTCAGAGACAACAGACAGCTCCCTCTTATCTCAGGCCTCCAATTCTTCTTCCTGCCGGGATTCCTCACTCCAAAGGCTTCCGTTTCAGACTGAAGCCTGTTATCAATGCTCACAGACTTATTCCCACAGAAACTACTCAGAACCTGCTGCTTACCAGTCCAGACAGGCTCTGTCATTCACTCAGCAAGACATTTCTGAAGTGGCAGCATCTTTCTTCCCTAGAGACAGATATACTTCATCCCTCTCAGTACAGAAGAGACATTCTGAACACCAGGCTACACTGTGGGGGACGTAAGTATCAAAGGAAATTTGCATAGTATTAAATGATAAAGTATTTGATGTTTTGTGAGCTAAATGCCCTGTATTAAGAGAACAGCATTTGTATTACTATTGCTTTGACATTTGCAATTGAAGAAACGCATGTACTGTATAACTTAACGGAGGAAAGAAGTCTGATGTTTATTGTGTATTGATGCGCCTCTGTTGCTGGTTCTGAGAAAAGCAGAGATTTAAAAATTTCTGTGCTCATATTTTTCTTTCTCATAGCCCCACTGAAGACATTAGGTCATCTAGTGCAGTAGAAGATGGAGATGTACTGTATCAGCAATCAAAGTCTGATACCACCAAAATTGGAAAGATACATTTATCTCCCAGAGGCTTTGTAACGAGACAGGACATAGGCTGTGATGCGTATTTATCCAAGCCAATGAGAAATCTAGATGGGGAGGAAGAGTTGGAGCTAATGGTGAATTCAGAAAGCATGACTGAAGCAGGTGCAGGCCAAATGTCAGATATCAAACAAGAAATGGAGGATGAAGTAAACACAGGTACTTTGGAAGAGAGAGATGTAATCCTACCAACTAAGACAAGGTTAACCAGTGAAATGGAAGGGGTTCTGCTCTTGGAAACTAATTTAGAGAATAACTTGTACTTGGTATCTACAAGTAACATGGACAAAAGCACTGACTGTAATACTTGGGGTGAAAAGCTCAGTGAGAAAGAAGTAGATGAGTACAACATCAGTGCATATGAACATCCATCTGGCAGTGAGATTAAAGTGTCAGTGGACTGTGATGCTGGTAGTCCAGCAAAAGTCTCTCCATCAGTAATAACGGAAGATCACAAAGTTAGCCCCTGCCAAGCTGAAACCCCTCAAGTCTTGGGTTGGCCTGCGACTGAAACAGAGAAGGACCTCACAGAAACACCACGGGTACATTGTGGTCCCAACAAATTAGTTCTGGGTGACACTACTGCTGATGACCCAGAGAGAACCACAGAGGAAAAAGCAGATGTGATGGAGGTTGGGTTGAAAGTGGAAAAATTTAACAGGACAAAGACATGCACTGATAGCGACACTGAAGAGGAGACAGACCAGCCTCAGTGTTCTGATGTCCAGCTAAAGGGGAGACTGTATATAGAAGTTAAAGAGTTAGCTGGAGGAGATACAGAGCCAGGAGGGAGTGAGAAAGACAATGAATCAGTGATGACACATGTGGACAGTGAAACTGAGAGTACATTGACAGGTAAGTGCATGATGGGCCTCATTTGTAAAAATAATGTGCTATGTCATCTTGGTTTCTTTTAGGTGATCACCTCAATATTGTACATGTAGTGCTCGTGTCTCTTTTGCCTGAATTTCAAACCAAGCAACAGACATGCCTTTATTTTATGAGCAAAATTAATTTTAGCTTTTAAAATAAAATACTTTTTAAAATTGGCATTCTGCTGCGAAGAATCAGTTATTATAACTCAGCTTTTACTTATTTTTTAATGTACATTTTACTTCACTGTGACTGAACTGTCAACAAATATGCAGCTTGCAGCACTTGACCACTAGAGTGTACTAGAATATTTTTCTATGTGATTTTAACCATCTGCAGGAGTAAATAAACTCCAATAGCATAAATGTTTTAGTGAACAAGTCACATTAAGAATTAATTAAGCCACTGGGTTTATTTAAATAACTCCAGCAAGTATCAATGCTGCATATTTAAAGGCAAGGGAAACACTAAGAATTACTACATGCAAATCCTGTGATCAATATCAGGGTCTGTATCATTTCAGATCCTGAGTATGGAACCAGAAAACACTAATACAACATAAGCATAACTTTATTGCCAAGTATTACAAGAACACAAGGAATTTGACTCCAGCTCAATGGCCCCCAATGTGCACAACATAAAAACAAAATAAATACACAATATATACAAGCTAAAAAAATTGCAAGTTAGAAGAGCAACATAGACTAGCATGAGATATAAAAATCTACAAAGCCGTACTTAGTGATAAATTGAAATCTGGTACTACATTTGTAGTTGAAGTACAATTAAACTGTTCAGAAGTGTTTTTGTTCAGCCCAGGACATAAATGTATTAAAATTGTTTGGTCAGTTTTTCGTGCCGGGTGTTAGTTTAGACAAACCAGTACTAGGGGGTGCTAAAGCATTTCAAGTTGTGCCAAACTCATTCCAGTGGCTTGCAGTCATTTTTATTTTATCAGCGATGACAGAACAGTGCTGAAGAGACTCAGCACTGACAAGGGATGTTGTCCCTGCTCACAATACAGCCACAGGAAGGGAGCTTGATTCTAAGCTGCTGACAGTAAACTCACACACATACACAGCCACAAATAAATACTCAAGAAGACACACAAACATGTTGCAAGTTGTGTTGTAGCAAAACATCAGCATGATCTTGGCCAGGATTTATAGTGTTGGCTGACCTTGTTCTGTCAAACTCTTCTAAGGTCACACACACACACACACACACTGTGTAAGCCCACATACATGGCTTACAGAACGAAATAAGTTCACTGATTGAGAATAGCATTGATCAGATAGAAATGCTTCTATTTATTACCTTTTAGACCACTCATGGAACGACAGTTGTCCCATGCCAGCAGTGCCCCAGCACTGCAGAGCAAGAGGCTCAGTGATCAAAGCGCCCTGTCTAAGTGGGAACTGGCAGCACGGTGACAATGTACAAGTGAGTCTCTATCCGGCAAGCTTGCAAGATTACAATACTGTATCATAGTACACTTTGCTTAGACACTCTAATTGAGGAAAAGTTGTCCCTCGCTCACTGAGATTAGTTTCCATGTCTTTTTATACAGAAATTCTGATGCTTTTATTTCATTTGGGGATTTGGGTTTTTCCTCTATAATAATATTAATAATGATAATGATAATAATAAGGTCTAGACCTTACTTTTTAAAGTGTCCTGAGATTACTTTTCTTGTGATTTGGTGCTATACAAATAAACATGAAATGAATTTACCTCCCACTTTACCTTCATAATCTCTGTAGCAGAGGTAACAGTGCATAAAGCAGCAACACACAAAAAGTCGAGAAATTTGAATAGCTGCTTTCATAGGGATTATAGGCTTTTATTTCCCTGATGCACATAGAAATCAATCTGTCTTGGGTGAAATAGGGTGTCATCAACAGTACTGCAGCACACTGACAAGTGATAGCTCCCCACTGAATTGTAAAGTAATAAAAAGTCCTGACAAAGTGGACCATAATGCAAATTGGCAGAAAGGAAAGTGTGCAGCAAAAAGGAAGAACTATAAAGAGGAGGTGGAGAGATGGGAGAATGGTGTGGGAGAGCAATAGAGAAAGACAACTGAAGGTGAGAAAATGAGAGACTATAAAAGATGGAGGTGAAGAAGAGAGGTAGAAAGGTGCAGGACATTGTTGTATTGCTACAGCCTGCAGCAAACACACCAGTCCATTCTCTCTCTTTCTCCTCATTCACTCTCTCACACTTGCCTCCAAACAGTACTGGGCTGCGGGCCATGGCCTGCCTCAGTTTTCTATCTATATCCTTTAGCACAGCACCCTGGGGGGGGGGGGGTGCCT